TAAATATTTTTTTTTAAAACCCCCCCCCCATTTTTTTTAAAAAAAAAAAAAAAAAGAAGCTTTCTTTTTAGACATTGGAAGCATACAAGCCAGTCAGAAATGTCCCACTTTCTATATTTTGTCTAATTCCTACCTCTGACTTCCTTTGAAAGCTTTCAAAATCTAATGCATTCAAAAGAGGCAGAGTGAATTAAGTGCACTGAAGTAGCTTTGCCTTCAGTGCACTGGGCCTGCAGGAACTGAAAAAAAAACACAGGAGAGAAACTGAAAGGGTAAGAAGCCATGTAAATCCAGATAATTTAAAATGTTTAATTATAAGCGGGCTCACCAAACCCAGGAAAATTCTCACTGTCCTATTGCTCGTAATCTTCTGCCCTTTCAGCGAGCTGCAGCAAGTTAATGTCAAGAGCAAATTCTCACACAATGCAATCTCTACATCAGAGCACTTTCTGCCATGAATCACTTCTTAAATTGCTTTGAGTTTACATTTAATTGCTTCCTTTGCATGCTATGTGTACACATGCACTCCTCCCGCCCCCCATATTTCATATGTAACTGTCATGTAGGCTGGAGCTATAGTCTTTGGATATGGAGTATTCAAACCCCAGAGCTCAAGGAGCTTGAATCCAGGAACTGATTTGTCCTCTTTTAAGATGGGAACCACATGTGTGACTTGGATCCAGATATGGGGTGGATTCTGGATACGCTAATTTGAATGCATTAAGATTTGGGATTCAGACTCGTTTATTTGTTATGACACTAGTACTAATACACACTACTGGGTGTTCACCTTTCCCCTCACTAGAAAGATAAATGCTTCCCATAGTCACTTCCTCTGGACTGATTTGTAATTAATTCCAGGAACAAATAATCTTCAAGATATTTTTCTTAGTTTTATTTCTTAACACCCTCTATGACAATGGCTTATAAGTGACCTCTGCAAAAAGTTTTGAACGTTTGGATCACTCGGTCACCTTCCTCTGAGAAGTCCCTGTTATCCCACTCTCCCTCTGAAGGCTGCTCCACTGGTTTTTCAAAGTATTCCGATCCTACAGGGAGGTACTTTTCCCCCTTGTAGCAGTCACAGTGGTTTGAGAGACTGAAGAACACCCTCATGGGGTGTTCCTGTCCAACAAACTCTCTCTTGAACTGCTGTTCAGAACTGGTTTCATGGGCTCCCTAAAACTGTGGTAAACTTCAAAGGTCTGCAATTCCCAGGATTTTCCTCATCTCCTTTTGAAGACAGGCAACATAATAGGGCTTCCCAGCCTTCTTGTGCTGCTGCATTTTTCAAGGGAAGAAGGCATCCCCTTGTCAGTATCTTGGCTTTTTCTCACTTTATTTCCCCTCAGAACTCCCAGATGAACACCATCCGCTTGTGGTGATTTACTGCACTTGAGTTTCTCAAGTTACTCTACAACTTCCTCCTTAGAGACTTCAATCTGTATAAAGGCCACACTCTGATTTTCTTTGCAAAGTGCCTTTGGCACAGGAATTTCTACACAACTCTCAGCAGCAGACATGATGCAAGAGATTCATTTAACTCCTCTGCTAGCTTGTTGCACTCTTCTCCTGACCCACTTTATACAGATTTGTGGGGATCTCTGGGGTGTTTTGGTGCATAACCCAGCCTAAGATTTATATTCACCAACAGGTGAGGCTTGGCTCTCAGCTGGTATTCTCTCGCTGCTCCACTGAAAGATATTCCTGTGCAGCCACTCTCATCACACGTTATTCGGCTGGTTTATTAAGCCCAATAGCACTCCTCTGCACTACTTTTGTCACATGTGGGTTAAATCCTCCTTGATGTGAACTGCCACTGTCCCTCAGGTGAGGAGCTGGTCTTGCAGGAGCTCTACATCAAGCAACCCCCCCGGCGTGTCAC